GGGTGCTCTGAGTCGGAGCCAACTCTACAGCACCTAACAATAACAACAACAAAGCCATTCATAAAATTGATAGAAATCCTCACAGGGTGGCCACTGGGCATGAACAGCCTTCCCCACAGATTGAGGGAGTCACCTTTACCAAGATGCCCAATGTAAGGTGTGCTGAGCAGGCAGTCTACATTTGTCCTCAGCATAACTACCCTGATGGAAGGGAAATTTCCTGGGGCTGTGGTACTATGACCCAGAAAACCTAAGCTGCCCTAGGAACCTTGTTCCATCAGAATGCATTTATCTGCTGACATTGCTACACCTTAGAGCACTACCCTTAACCGGGAGACATGGATGATGTAAGCAGGCTGGGTTTGGCCCAAGTTCTGTAAATGCTATCTGGGAGAAGCAGCTGTAAACAGGAGGTGGTGATGGAAATAGATTGGCAAAGACCATCAGTCACCCTTTACACGATGCTGAGGGCACAAGGGATGCCAGGAAGATCTCATGGTTAGTGAAGGTTTGCTTCTAGGTCCTTGGCCCTTGAACACGAAAATACACCCAGACAGCAGGGGTTCTGTCATTTGAGAATTATTGTCCGGTGTAACCATCAAAATGGCTTTCCCTGGGAGTTTGAGAGGCACTTTCTCTGGGATTTTTTTTTTTTTTTTTTTCAATTTAAATTTTATGTTCATAAAAGCTATAGAACATAAAATTTGTCATTTTAACTATTTTTAAGTGTACAATTCAGTGGTGATAATTACATTCACAGTATCGTGCATTGCTATCTGTTTCCAAAACTTTTTCATCATGTGGGGTTGTTTTTAGGGAACTCTAGTGGTATAGTGGATAAGGCATTTGGCTGCTAACCACTAGGCCAGCAGTTCAAACCCAACAGCTGCTCAACAGAAGGAAGATGGGACAGTCTACTTCCATAAAGATTTATAGCCTTGGAAACCCATTGGGGAGTCACTCCAGGTTGGAATCAACTCAATGGCAGTGAGTTTGGTTTGGTCTTTGGGCCTTTTATTAAAGCAGCTCTTCTGTCTAGGATGTGCTGTGCCTACTAGCTCGTGCCAGGGACCATGACGGGCAGAGGGAGAGGAGATAGCCTCTGTACCCAGGTCCTGGCTGCATCCTTGAAAAAACATTTCTGGTGGGTTGTGTTTGGGTTTTGAAGTATTATTAAATGCTTTGAGGAGGAAGCAGTTTTGATTTGTTTGTTTCAGCCTTGAAAATGACATGTTGACTGTTGTGCGTCTCAGAGAGGGGAAGCCTTCTCTGAGTAAAAGACAGAATTTTCCAGATAAAACTAGATCTTTGGTCCCTTGAGTCTTTACTTGTTCCTACCATCTGCCAGTAGCTGATAGTATAAGCTTCTATTATGACTTTAGCCAGTTGCCATTGACTTCGTGCAGGAAAATGTAGTCGATCATCTTTGGAAAAACTCCCCCCCGCTCTGTGCCCCATGAGCCTGTGGGCATCAAATATACATCCCTCAAGGGACACTGGCAAGAAGCCTGCCCTGGTAGTTCTGTGTGGACTTGGCACTCTCATCTCAGAACTAGATGCCATCACGCCTCTTTAGTCCTTAGTTACCATGTGTTTCCAGTGGAGGGAGACCGAGCCCTTCCTGTGGACACCTTGAGGCCTGGGTCTTGGTGAGGTGGCTTTTGGACCAATACAACACACCCTTCCTGCAAAGCGTCATGAGCCTGAGCTGCCCATACAAATCTGCAGTTTGCATCCCTGGGTTTTAATCATTTCTCTACCTTTATTGGTATTCAGAGCTCACACAGTTCTGGTTACTGTCAGCCTGGGCTTTCATTCATTTTAAAGAGTTATTTTTTTTCTTGTTATTGATGATGATGGTATAAAGACAGATGGTATACCTGCTTATGAATGTCCTATTTTATTTCCCCAGAACCAGACAGTTCACTTGAAGACGTGTATTATTTCCACATGCTCAGGTTAGGTGACCCAGACAGTGTTTACCTCCTGCAGCTAGCTGCCCTTCCTGGGCCTTGCTATGCGGAGGGCGACGCCTGTAGGTCACAGGTGGAACAGCAGGGAAGCTCCTGCTTGGCCGAACAGCGCCTGGGGTTGAGGACATGATTCTTCTAAAGGAAGCTTGCCTGCCCGAGAGTTCCCTAATAATTTCTTCTACCGCCAGGAGTATTATAGCCATTAGTGAATGGGTCACAAATGATAATGTTAAACCTAAAAATTCAAAAAGAACAGGACTTAATTTGTAAAGTCTTAAAAAAAATGCTAGGGAGGGAAGGGGAAGAGAAGCACAGTGATGTCTTGTGAGAACCTCTCGCATCTGTCCTCTCAGCTACCTTCACTTTTCTGCTGGTCGTAGGGCAGGGAGGCCTAAAAGCGAAGGCCCGAGTGGATTCCCTGAATGAGAACTCCAGGAACAGTCACATGGCAATGGATGGTTTCCTGGGATGTTGCATCACCGATGTGCTTATTCTTGACAGCATCTCCTTTCTGAGTAGGTTTGTTTGGGAAAACTCGAAGAACTGGGGTCTGTGCCAGAGGAACCTGGATTTTTTCCTCTCCGGGTGGGTGGCTGTGGGCCGCATAATGAGTAGGAGGGAGGCAGTGGCCTTGGCAATGGCCTGCTGGTGGGTGAGTTCCTTCGCTCCTCGCCAGAGCAGTGTGTGCAGGCACTGGAGGTCACCAGGCAGGGTGCTCTCCGTGTTGTAGGTGTCAGACGGTCTCCATCTAAAGTGACAATTTGTATGCATGTGCTGGGAAGGAAGGACCATTGAACAATCTTGCATAATAAAGTTTGATTAAGGTACCAACACTATGTATATTTTGTACACAGCATAAATTGGGGCAAATGAGTATGTATTAGAGACCTAGCTAACTTACTCGGAAGGAAGATGGGGCAGTCTACTTCTGTAGTGATACTGCCTCAGAAACCCAGGGAGGGGTCGCTATGAGTCGGGGCCAACTCGACGGCACGTAACAACAACAGCAGCAGCTAACTTACTACAACTCATTGCCGTCAAGTTGGATGCGACTCATAGTGACCCCTCCTTGGGTTTCCAAGGTGGTATCACTACAGAAGTAGATTGCCCAATTTTCTTTCTGAGGAGTGGCTGGTGAGTTTGAACTGCCAGGCTTCTGGTTAGCAGTCAAATGCCTTAGGCACTATGCCACTAACTTAGATAAGCCCAATTTAATGATATTGATTGACTGAATCATGGTATCTCCATTCAAAGATGGAATTTTATCATTACAGTGTTGAATAATTTCATCAAAATCCTAAATGTGTTTATTGAATATCCTGCCTGGACATAATTAAGATGGTACATCCATGTATAACTTACTATTACTCTGTTGACATTATATACAATTTTGTTCTAAATGGTAATACGGGGTTGCGTGCTTGATTGACTCTAAATCATGGTTGCTTGATTTTTCTTTTTTTGAACTGTAGGCAGGGGTGGGGAGAGTTGATGTTAACTTTGCTAGCAGTAGGCCAGAAAAATGAGACCTAGAAATTATAACTGGAGTGCTTTAAATTGAAGATGAAAGTAAGTAGGACCTTGTTTTATCTACCTTCTCCATGACTACCTCATAAACTCCTTATTGCTGGTAATGAAGAAAGAATGTTTCCTGACACCTAGAGTTTAGTTTTCTGGTCCATTCTTTTCAGGGAGAGTTACAAAAACCTGACTCTCTGTACTTTTCTTCCTACAGTGTTTTATAAGCTCTCTCATGATGGGTCGCTTTCCTCTGCTTTTCTTTTATGCTGTTTGTGAGAAGAAATTTAGAGGCTGTTTCTGGAGGGGTGAAAGGCTTGACACTGTAAAGTCATTAAAAGGTGCAGTTGGGGATGGAAGGATCACGGTGGTGCTGGACAGAGCCCCAAATCCAAGGTCTAGATTGGGTCCTAATTCCTGCTGCAAACATGGCCTTTGCCAGGTCAGACTTAGTGCTGGGCTCAGGTGTTGGCTGTCGGCCACCTGGCTGTCATGCCTCTGCACCCGGGAAGTATATACTCTTCCAAGTCTCCTCATAATTTCATTGTTAACCCACCTGGGTTTGCCAACCTCATTCATTCATTCAGTCAGTCTTCCCTTACTGAATGTGTGCTTTGAATAATGACCCAGAGTGCACAGGAGAGCAAGAGAGACATGCTATACTCCCGTTTCATCAGCATCTAAAGTACTTTAGCCCCTTCTTCTCACATGTGTGAGGAGCCTTTCATTTCTTGATTAACTTAGTGTTGAAAACGGCTGTTCTCCTGCCTTGACTGTGGCACTATGTGCTGAGCTGGAGGGCCGTTTCCTTAGTTAGTTTTAAACCAGTGGTGGGTAAAGAATGGAAGAATTTCAAAAAGAATTTGGTTACAAATTTTTATCCCTTTCTGTACAAATCAAGCTTTGTACCCCTGAATCTTGGCACACTCACCAGAGGCCATTTGGTTTTGAGAATTGTTTACGTTAACGAAATCCTATCACTGATGTTCTGTGACATCAGAACCTGAGTGACTGCAGAGTGCTCCTGCCGTGGTATGCCATGGTAAGCCATGTGCACGAGGCCTGTGAAGCCCAGCAGTTGGGTGTGGTCCGCTTCAGTGCCGGGACACTCTTGATTGGACCTCGGCTAATAGCAAGGTGTGGCTACTTTTCTTCATTTTCCAGTGTAAATGATTTTCAACCTTTGGAGTTCACATGGAGTCACTGTTTTAACAAGATTGGTTTTTCAATTAGAAACACTCAAGTTAAGCATTCAGAATCCATCTGGAAGCACCTAATGGCCGCAGGTCTAGAACAAGTCATTCAGTGGAGAGGAAAGGTCCTCATGGCTTACCCAGACCTCGGTACGTTCTTAGGGCCATCGGCCTTTCAAAGGCCACTGGAAAGTGAAAAGAGGGATCGGGTCATCGCCTGTGAGTTTTATGGTTGGTAACTCTGCAGTAGGAGCCAAGAGTTCTCCGTCTTCTCGCAACATTGAGTCTTTGAAATTTGGCTTGTCTTCTATTTCAGAGGAAGCCACTGAAGATGTTGAAGGACCCAGTGAAACAGCTGCTGATCCGGAGGAGCTTGCTAAAGACCAGGAGAGCGGAGGCGAGAAGGAGCAGAGCAAGTGGACAGGTTCGTGCGGGGCTGCCCTGGAGGCCCTCACCATCTCCCTGGTGGAGTGAGGCTCACAAGTCCCGGAGCACACAGAGCCTTAGTCTGCCCATAGAAACTGCTGGCGCTGCATTGGGGGGAAAGGGGTTTTGTGTGTTTTCTTTAGTGGACACCTTTATTCTCTTTCTACTAAACAATTTTTAAAGCTTATTTTATGGCCAAAAAGCCAGCTTGTTTATTGAGCAGCCAGGCGTCAGACGCTGACTAGGAGTGTCTGTACTGTGGACATCACATTTCTTCAGCAGCTTCTTGGTGGTGGTCTTTTGTCCTCTATGTTACTCTTCCCCCATTGAAGGTCTGGTCTCCTATTCCACCTGCTGCCAAACCCAGCAACAGGACCTGGCTTGTGAAACTCGGTTGGGGCCACCTGATTTTCAGCCCCAGGATTCTGTAAAGGAGTCAGCAGTGAATATTGGCCTAAATAGCAAGGCCTAGATGGGGCCCTGCACTGGTACCACTAGTCCTGCAGACTTCCCATAACCTGCCTCTCCCATGGGGCTAACACCCAGCTACTGAAAGCCACCCTCAAGGGAGGCAGACAGTGCACCAGGCCTAGGGATTCTTAGCAAAAGCAGGAGAAATGGCAAAAGCCAAGAAAGGAAATGCTATTTCTAGAAAAGTGGGTGTTAAGAGAGGAGAATGGCCAAGAAATCCTATCAGGATGATAGGATTTCTGAGTTGAGGGAAAGAGGAGCTGAGACTAAGAAAAGCTGAGGGTTTTTTTTTTTTTTTTTTTTTTGAGGAGAGGAGCAAAGCAGTTTCTGAGACTTATTGGTATAGAGACATCTCCCAGAAATCACCACGGTAATAAGAGGAAATGATATGTCAAGTGATGAAAATGATTTTATTTAATCAACCTGATTTTACTGCTTTCCGTTATTAATATTGTAATACTTGGATTTTTTAAAGAAAATATTTACCTTCTTGAGTCTGTATTGGTTGGGCCTTGGTTACATTTCCAGTCACGACTGTTCTTAAATCATGTCCAGTGTTGGCCTTCACTATTGAAACTAGATGCAGGATCTTGGAGAGAGGCCAGTGGAGAGCAATGGAAATGACGGGAGGCCGAGAAATGTGGCCTCAGACAAGAGCTGAAGCAACCAGGGCTATTATTCTGCCTGGAAAACACAAACCGTACCAGCTTCCAAGTATCAAGGGTCCCACCTAGTAGGTGATGTGCTGCTCTCCAGTGTTTCTTGGGAGAAAGATATGAGGTGTTGCTGCAACTGAGTCAGTGGCACACTTGGCAGATTTTCCCGTGTGTGCTGCTGTTGTCCCCTTTGTGGTGCCTAGAGGCCAGTTCTGGAAGTCACACTGAGGGACAGTGTGGAACACCTTGGGAGGGCTTTTAAGGCGGAAGGGAAGTCTGGGCTGGACGTGTGTGCTCCGAGCCCCTGAATGTGAATGTGCTGCTTTGCACGGACCGGGATCCTGGTTTTTGCTGTGCTGGTAACAGAACTGAGTGGAGCTGGCAGCCCCTGAACATGTCTGGGCGAGCTGGGGGAGAGGACTTCACAGACACAGCTTGCAGACTAGGTGACCTTTCGGGCCATCTGTCCTTTGTTTTCACAATTTGGTTTCAAATCCTGGCCCTGCCATTTGCTAGCTGTGTGACCTTGCTCGGGTTACCTTAATCTTCCAGAGCCTCAGGTGAAATGGGGATTCAGAATAGCCCGTACTTCCACAGGATTCTGTGAGGACTGTTTATGGGGCACTCAGGATCATGCTTGGCCTGTAGTCAGCTCTATGACGAGGTTACCTGACAGCCCCCAACAGTTCGAATAATTTTGAGGAAATCTAGCAGTAGTTTCTCTTTGGGTTTTCCCATCTGAATGATGTAAAACTTCTTCAGGCAGCATGTGGCTTCTGGAAGTCCTTGGCCATGAGGGGGACAACAAGGATTTAATGGGACCAGGTATGGAATGGGATGCTTGTGTTTCCTGCATTCTGTGTGCTGAGGGCACTATGAAATGGTCACTGAAGCAGCAGCCACCATTCGCAGTGCTTCCACTGCGTTTCAAGCCTTGTGCTGGGCCCTTTGTATGTACTTTCTAGTCCCTTACAGCCAGTCTAGTCCAGGCTTTGTTGAAGGCGGTTCAGTTAAATCCCATTGAGTGTTCATAGTGCTAGATGGACACATTAGGTAGTCGGGAAATGTAAGGACTTGAAATGAGCACTCTAAAAATGAATGTGCTCAAAAGGCTCCACTTCCTCCTTCATTCATTCACCTGTTCATTCATTCATTCATACCACAGGCCAAAAGGCAGAGAGAAAGGAAGTCAGGGGCACACCTTGCCAGCTGTGTGGGAGTAAAGATAGGAAGGAAAACAATCCTCTTTGGACCCAAAGTGTAGTTTTGTCTGCAGTGTCTGAGTGTAGAATGACAGGCTTCAGTAGGGTGCTTGGGACGACCTGATCTCAGAGTTGCAGTAGGTGCCAGCATCCTCTCCTGAGCTTTCTTTTGAACCCTTAGAATTTTATAGAATATATGCATTTGTTCCTGAAATTGAGCTGTTCCTATCTGATTGAATATGATGGGAGTGCTTTCCCCTGACAGATAAGCAGTGATTGCACAGTTTGTACGGTTGATGAGGGCTGCTCAGGATGTAGATGAGTATTTCACATGGGCCTGGGCAACTGGCATTTTCTCAGTTATTGATTATGTAGTTTTGAGGTTGGGCAGAAACAGATAATCTTGACTAAAAATTTTTACTTACTTATTTTGACATAGGAACAGGATCCCCTGATTTCCTTTTTGGTGCCTGCTGGTTGCTAACCCTCTTTGGGCTTCTTTTGTTTAGATGTCCCATCTTTTCTGTTGAGTGGCAGCAAGACAGATAAGTGATGTGAATCAATTCCACAGTCATTGGCTGAGTCCCTACCATGTCAGGGTAATGGACAGACTTGCACCCATCACAAGTTTGGTGAGTCTTCCAGGAACCTAATATTCTAGTGGCAATGTCGGAAACACCCGTAGACCTAAGTACACATTACGCAGGTCAGTGCTGCCCAGTGGAGCTTTCTGTGTGGAGAGAAATGTTCTGCAGCCTGGCCTGTCTACTGCAGCAGCCACTAAGGACAGATGGCTGTTAACCACTAGAAATGGGTCTAGTAACACTGAGGAGCTGAATTTTTTTTAATTTAAATTGAGATTTGGGTGAAAGTGTACAGAGCAAATTCATTTCCCATACAGCACTTTATACACATTTTGTCTCATGACATTGACTACAATTCCCCACAATGTAACACATCCCTTCCCAATTCTTCCCTATAGTTACCTCTTCCCTGTGTCCTTCCCTCCCATGCACTCCTACCCCCGAGCTGTCTCCCTGTGGAAACACTGTCCTTCTGTTCTCCAAGGATTGGTTGCTCCAAGGAGTGTATCTACCTGATGTAAATGTTCACCCCATATGCCTGCCTATTGTTTGCCTGGAAGCCACGTGAGTGAGTTTAATTCCAGACCTGAAGGGTAGCTAGGGACCGTAGCGTCAGGAGTCTCACCAGGCTCTATCAGACCAGCAAATCTGGTCTTCCTTTATGATTTTGAGTTTTGTTCCACATTGTTCTCCCATTCTATCCAGGATCTCCTACACCAATCCCCCTCCAAGTGATTGACAGTGATAGCCGGGCACCATCTTGTTCTTCTGGTCTCATGGTCATATAGGCCAAGGATCTCATGGTGTACCAGTCTCTTAGACTAATTATTTCCATGCATCTTTGATTTTCTTCATTCTTCTTTGTTCTGGATGAGGAGAGAATCATTGTTGCATCTAGATGGCTACTGGCAAGCTTTTAAGACCCCAGTCACTACTCACCAAAGTAGGATGTAGAACATTGTTTTGGTGTAGTATGTTATGCCAGTTGAGCTTGATGTCCTCTGCGACCGTGGTCCCAAGGCCACAGGTCTGACTACTCGCTTCCTCTGGGTAGCTGGCTATGACCAAGAAGCCACCACCACCTTGCCCCTTGTCAGTTCTACTATACACCTGGACATTCTTACAGCATATATAAATACACATGTGGAAACATTGTCTGCTAATGCTGTACATGGTAGTGGTGACATAACTCTCTGCCTAGACATACTTGATCATTCAGCCTGTCCACTCATCTATCCACTTACAGATCAATGCTTGCCATCACTGACAGTGCAGTACTGTATATGCAAAAGGGTTCATCTTTTGTCTGTACCTCCTTTTCCTCAGTGCCACCATGTTGATCACTCACATTTGGTACATTGCTCAAAATAAATACTTGTCTCTACTTTTCTAATAGTGTTCCCTCCTCTCCCTTCTCATACCTAGTAACAAGCAAACAAAGTTTCCTTCCATATATAAACCTTTCCTTGACTTTTTACAATAATGAACTAATACTATATTTGTCCTTCTGTGATTCATTTACTTCACTCAGCATAATGTTCTCCAAGTTCATCCATGTTATATGGTGGTTTGCAGATTCTACATTATTTTATTTTAAATTTTTATTGTGATTTGGGTGAAAGTTTACAGAGCAAATTCACTCTCTCTACAGCAGCTCACATACAGTTTGTCTCATGACATTCACTGCAATTTCCAACAATGCAACAGCTCCCCTTCCTCTTCCTCCCCATAGTTACTTCTTCCCTATCTCCTTCCCTCTCATGCACTCCTGCCCCCTGAACTGTCTCCCTGTGCATACACAGCCCTTCTTTTCTCCCATGATTGATCTCTCCTAAGAATGTATCTATCTAATGTAAATGTTCAGCTCATATGCCTGTCTTCTGTTTGGCTGGAAGCCACAGGAGTGAGTTCAATTCCAGACCTGAAGGGCAGCTAGGGGCCCAGTCTCAGGGTCTCCATTATTCTTTACTGTTGCATAATATTCCATTGTGTGTATGTACCATAGTTTGGCTATCCGTTCTTCTGGTGATGGGCATCTATGTTGTTTCCTTCTTTGTG